CGAGGAAAAATTCCAGAATTGCTTCGATTTCTTCTCAATAACATTTCGCTCATCCCCGTTATTCGAGTCGATCGATTCTTCCAAGAATTCTTAATCTCTTCGTCTCCCGATATTATTCTCGCTAATCCCAGTGTCTTACATTTCACCAGCGTTTCATCGATCGTGTTCACTCTGAAGAGCAGCTAGTTCCTCGATAAAATCCAAAATCTGAACGTTTCTGCTTGGGTCTGTGGCACTCCTTAAATCGAAGCGATGTCTAGGATGTCCTGGTAGCGCCACCCTACCGCCAAAGGCGGCCATCCCCGTCGCCCAGGACCGGGAGAGAGCCTTTACAATACGTCCTGAGCAGCCAACTACCCTTTCTCTTAACGTCCAAAGTTTTCAAAGTACGACGTTCAATGGGGGCCGTCGTATATATGGCTAGCACCACCCCCGCACCACCACCGTCCTTCGCTCGCTCTCCTTTTTCTTCGTCCAGCTCTACCTCCTTTTTGGTCCTCTGAGGCTGACGCGCTTTGTGAAAAGCGGCGAGATAGCGGTCCCTGAACCGGGAGAACAGACCAAAACAACTTTATTGGACCCGTTACGGGCCGATAGAGATTATTCAATCTGATTACCGCGCGCTGCTTTTACGCGTTTTTATTCCGGGGCTAAGATCAATTTTTACGTTTTGGAGAAGTTAGATTATTTTTTATCTAAGTCTTTAAGTAACTAAAGTAATTTAAAAATTTGTTTCGAGACTATCGATTTTATTTGGATAACAAGTTATAAATATTAATCGCCCGATTGAACTTGTTGTCCTTGAATATAAAAATAGATATTCAGATTAATATAACGATGATTCTACACGTGAAATCCAAAAGTTCATCTGAATCTGAAAGACATAAATACGAATATACGAATAAAGACTCGCAAAGAAGTATCAACGAAATTGAAACAAACCGTTCACCAACGACTCGCCTCAACTGTTCTCCTTCTCCCATTTTATTTTCACCAAACCAACCGTAAAACGATAGAACCTCGAAGTTGCGGGAATACAATACTAAATACCTGCGCAATTTCTTCGCAAACCGAGCGTAAAGAGGAGACGACGTAGCCAGTCGTTGCAGTGTCGTGAATCGTCTTGCACAGTTGCCTTTCAATCTCGTCTCAGACACGGAGAGCGGGGCGGGGAGAGCGAAAGGAAGGAGGGAAAGATAGACGGGAGACCAGTGGCCGAGGAGGACTTTGCGATACGGTCGCGTGGAGAGATACGATGAGAAGGGTGTTCCCTTGCTAGTTGGCTGGATGCTCGTCCTTTGTTGACGGCCTCCGCCGTTCCACGGAAACAGTCGCCAGGAAGCGAAGCCAGCGCAACGAGGAGGACGCCCACCACCGTGACGTCATACACCACTGAGTTCATCTCGTTATGTTACGTTCGTAGACGAGACGTCGGATGCAGGAAGCCTACCGTTCCTCTCTCTGTCTCACGACGCCGTCCCCACCCCTCTCGCGTCTCTCTCTCGCGCTCACACTTGACCCTCTTCGTCGCGGAACTGTTCTCCAACCGTT